ATTTATGTGTGAGGTTAAAAAAATTCAAGACCGTGATAATCGAGCAGATATGGAGCCAAGTACATTTACACTGCATTTGTGACTACGCAACATGATCATTAGCTATTGTCCCAAAAACACAATTTTTTCAGAAATTATTAGATGGTCCCGGACTATTAATACTTGGTGGACCAATTCAATTCAGACTCTCCGATTGAGAAAATAACCCCACAAGAGTGTATTATTATAATACTGTAGAGGCCGGATGGTTTATAGATTCGAAAATAAAGCTTCGGAAAAGCCTGAGTGGACCATTTATCGGATTGAAGGAAGAAAGTTGTAATGGCAGGGGAGAGAATTTAGGCAAAAATGTCATAAGTGCATGGAAGGGAATACAGCTTCCGGAAAAACTATCCTTTGTATCACCCGGTACCCTTATTTATAAGAGTCCTAGCACATGCTGACACGTGCCTTAGTTTATTCGGTACTAGCACCCATGCACTTTAGCCATCCTTGGCTGAAGCGTGGTCACCCTCTCCACTGAGGTCCCTGGTCCATATACCATGGTTACGTGACACACCCAGCGAACCCCTCCTTCAAGCCTCCATGCCACGACAGATCCCTTTCCCCGTTTTCTGTTTTGGGATCATAGCATGCTGCGACATAACGACACACCATGAATGCTTGAGTTAGAAGTTGTTACGCACCAACATCATAACCCCCTGATCTGTATATTAGACCATGAGAGTGATGCTAGGTGGGATAGCATTGTGTCGCGAAACATGTTACTATCTCACTGAGCATTACTAACACGCTCTGTTACATAGCCTCCCGTCATAGTCAATACCTCTCGAGTGAAGATCTAAGCCATAGGTTCACTATATTACCTGACTACCGCGAATATTTTATATGACTGTTTCGCGAGAGTCAGAGGTAAATAAAGTTTCTCGTCTTAGTGGCGTATCTTTACGTTAAACAAGTAAAGGTTGACTTATGACTCAAGATTGTGCTAAGGGCCTCGTGCAATATATTACTGTACATATGACTCCCCTCTCCAATAGGATTGCCAAATCAGAGGATAACATATGTGCACTTTCCTTTGCACAGTGTCCTTCGTCGAGATACCCCCTTAATCCTTCTCGAGAAGCCAAGTAATTTATATTCTAATGCATGCTAAGCATAAACTTCCTCTACAATTACAAAGAAATCCAAACAACAATCTAGATTAAGCTAGTCCACAATAATCTAGAACCATCAAATAATTTCTCTGAATTTTTTTTCCTTTCGTCCATCTTTTTCATACATTGATTTCTTGTCATTAAGACTTCCAAAAAATATTAAATTTGTCATTATTGCAAATTCTTTATCAACTAGCTTATTGAGGGTCCCGTGGCCCTCCTTATTTGAACGAATAGTGCAAGGAGGGACAATTTTGAGACTAGTCCAAGAGCTCCCTCAAACCCTTTCAATTATTGAACATCACATCTTGCCAAGCAGTGCCTTCGAAGCAAATCTACCATTCAAAAGGCTCCTTGTAACATTTTCTTTGATCAGACCTTTAAACCAAATATTCAATTTTAAGGCATATCATCGTATATGTAACTTCTGCAATAAATCAACTCTGAAGAATATTCGTAAGGACTTTGGATCCTATGTCTTGTGTACCAGAATGTCTGACGGTTTTGTCCAATAATAAGACCTAACCATTTACGGAAATCAAATGGAACAATATAACTATAACGTATTGAATATAAGTTGTCATTTATTAATTTTTTCCTTCTTTGTTTTTTAAAAGAGAAGATTATAAAATTGGACTATAATCTTGGTGTATGTTACAAGGAGGAGTTTATCCCACGTCGAATTTAGATGGAAAAATGAATAGCATAAATGGGTAGGTATGTAGTACTATTCAATAGTTTAAATTTTTTGATAAATGGACAAGTGTCCGCTCTTTACAGTTAATATCATGATCATACACAATTCTTAATCCGGTATCACGCCAACGAGGGCATTACGAGTTCAAGTGAGGAAGAATATTACAAGAGGGAGTTTGTCCCACATTGAATCTGACTAAAAAAATGAATAGGGAGTACTTACCTGTAACTTAAATTTTTTTAATAATTATATAAATGTGCACCCATTACAGTATACCATTAACATTTTTTCTTTTATTTAAATTAACACACACTATTAAATCATGTCATCCAACTAAAATACATCTCGTGTCTGTCACTCAATTATATCTCTCACATGTCCGTAACCCAAGTTGGCCTCTTAATTGCTTTTCAAAACATGAATGCCGTTCATAAACAGCAAAATAGAAGTCAAATAGCCAAATGAAAGTAACAATGACATCTACATAACATTTTGGTACATGGGAATTCATGAAATTGCATATATGGAATGTTTCGTGTGACTTCTTTTATTTTTGAGTAAAGTGAAAAAAAAAAAAAAGAAAAAAAAAAAATTTAATTAATTAATTAAACAAAAAGTTATGATATTTGTATATTTAATGATAAAGAGTTAACAGTTGAACACATTCGTTCAATTTTATATGAATAAAAATTGATGTCATTGTAACGTTATAAATATTAATGGCATAATCATAATATCAACCTTCACTTAAATAAATATTTTCGAACTTCAAATTATTATCTTATGTATATATAGAATATTTAACTAAAAATTAGAAAAGAGTTGAAAATTCTACTGTTAAATAACTACACAAAGAAATCATTCATCACAATCGTTACAACGATGATATAGTATAACGGAAGGCTGTAAACACTCTACCAAAACACTTATATTAATTTTTTAATTCTATTATAAGTTCAATTTATTTTGATGGAATGTTTAGCTGTTGGAGCAAACGTGTGGACAAATATGTTATTACTTGTGAAAGCCAGACAAAATTGCAAAAAACATAAGTAGGCATCCGCAAGTGTACGTACATTGAGATTGACCAAGTCATGTGAAGAAAACAAACCGATTCCATGAAGGGACTACAAATGACTTTGACTTTGAGGATTGAAGATTCCCAAGTCAAGCTAGGAACTGAATCTGAATTTCCAGGTCGAATTTAATGCATTCAAATGATTTAGTTGGGTTTTTTATTGCCGAAGATCAAGGCTCATATCTTCATTTTTGAGTTGGGACAGTGATTGATGAAACCTCAACTAATATAATGTGTTTTCTTTCATATTGGGGAAAACTTTGACATGAAGTAAACGCTTAAATTATGAAGAGTATGTAATTCTATCACCGGAGTTATTGTTCATTTTATATACATATTTTTATAATATTCAGGAGACGTCTGCGTAATTAAGAGATTTACACACGTGTAATTATGGGAGAGGTGAAACAAAATAACGTTATTTAATAAATCAATTTTGTTTAATTCGCACTATTTTTTTTTTTGGTAACTATATCGCTATCTCTCTCTCCATTATGAATTCAATTATTAAATCGATAAATTGAGATGACTGAAATCTGTTAGTTTGACCGTAAAAGCCATGAAATGAGGATGTAGGGCAACTTTATTTTAAATTGTTATAACCAATACTTGTTACCCTTCACTGCTGATGAAAATTGAGTTTGATTTGTTTCTTTTAAAAAAAAAAATTCAAAGGGTTAGCACCTTTCCGATATGTAACCGGAAGAAGAAAAGGCATTTTATACCAAACACAGTGCCATTCCCATGCCACACTTTAATATCATCATATCATCTATGATTTATGAATTCAACTTGAGTTGGTGACTGAGGTATTAAAAAAAACCTTAATAAAGCGTTAAATCAAACCGAGTCGGACAGGTTCTCTTATGATTCAGTGCGTGTTAATTTTAAAAATAAAAAATCTTTAATTAGAAGTCCGATTTTTTATTTGTAGTCCAATAAAACCGAACTGAACCGATAATAAAATTTTATCCTAAGTTTTTAATCTTAATTTAAAAAAATTTCAATCCTCAACCTCTCTCTACTGTTTTGTGTTCTAGACTTTCTACCATCATCCCTCTCGTGTGCAGACAAACAGTTATCCACCTATGGACGGTGGACGGTGAAGTCTGAACTGTGTGTGTGACCAAAGCTGTGGACGGTGGAGGAAAGCGGACGGTAGAGGTGAAGTGTGAACTGTGTGTAGCCTCTTATGTTAAGGAACATGATCTAGTATTCAGTTCAGTCGCAATTTCAAGCTGGGACACAATAATGTAATTATGAAGTACCATACGTTGTAAAGGAATACTTTGAGCTTATTATGTCATTATTAATTTTGTTATGGATCTTTATTTCTTGGGATAATTACATATAAATGGAGTCAAAGTTTCATATTTACTTAGAAACTGAGTCAAAGTTTCATATTTCTCTAAAATAGATTGCTGAGGTGGCACATGATTTTTTACTGTTTAGAAAATTATGGTGCCTAAAATGCCCTTCCCTAACAAAAAAGTGGTACCTTCAGTTTAAAAAAGTAGTACCTTCAATTCAAAAAAGTAGTACCTTCGGAGAAAAAGTAGTACCTTCACGGGTGTTTAAAAAATATGGTACCTGGACGCCAAAAAGTAGTACCTTCAGTTCAAAAAAGTAGTACCTTTGAAGAAAAAGTAGTACCTTCGCGAAAGGGTATTTTAGGTACCACAATTTCTAAACAGTAAAAAACCATGTGCCACCTCAGCAATCCATTTTAGAGAAATATGAAATTTTGACTCAGCCTCTAAGTAAATATGAAACTTTGACTCCATTTATATGTAATTTTTTCTTATTTCTTTGTGTGGGAATTTTTTTTATTTTTAATCAAATCATGCAAAATTTTTGTTTGAATTTATTTGTTAAATTATTCGGTCCCAATTAATTATTAGACTCAATGATCAAAGACGTCAAAATTATAAAATCGAATCAGTAGATTACCTAGTCTTCACTGTCCGATCTGGTTTCATTTCTTATAAAATTGTTCGAATCAATTTAGTTCAGGTTCATTTTAGTTCATGTTAAGATTTAGAATAGAACCTTTTTAGTTCAAAAACATCACCATATATTTTTCTTTTCATTAAATAAATTAATCGTTTAATCCCAGAAGTAAAGAGAAACCTGAATCAAACGTATACATTTTGCAAAAGATTTTTACGTGGTAAATAACTAAGGTTGCCATTTTCAGAAAATTATTATACACTCCAAAAGTACAATTTCATATGACTGTGAGCTGAGAATAACCTAACGGCGGGTGGGGAGATAACGGCGATAACGGGGAGAGGTTAAAGATGCCATTGACACTCTGATCCCAAACCGCCTTCCAACTCGACGGCGTTAACGGACAAGCCGCTTGACCACTTAATGAAGAAGAAGTGTTAGATTCCGACGACCTTTCCTTCTTCACTGGCTTCTGCTCTACTCCTTCCTCACCGCCTCTGCACCTTTTCCGGCCGCCGTCCACGGTGGCAGAAGACAGCGTGTCATACGACTTTCCGGCCTCGAGAGGGAAGTTCAGAATCGCTTTGCTTCCACGCATCTTGAACGCGGCTCGATCGTAAGCTTTCGCAGCTTCAATAGCGGTGTCAAAAGTCCCGAGCCAAACCCTAGACCCTCGGCGCTTGGGATCACGGATCTCCGCCGCGAACTTGCCCCACGGCCTTCGTCGGACGCCTCTGTAGCGCGTCCTCTCATCTGAATTCGACGGTTTTTGTTCACACACCGCCATCGACGGCTGAGTCGACTCGGTAAACTCCAACCACTCGAATTTCTTCACCGGAGGCAGATCAATTTTCAACGACGGCTTGCGATCGCTCAAGCTCGACTGAGATCTCAAATCAAAACTCAAATTTACTGATTTCGGTGTTGTAAGGTCTACTATTTGCTGTTTCGACTCAAACTCAAAGAAATCGCTGCGATTTTGCTCGTAATTGATCGAATTGGGAACAAAATCGAATACTTTAATCCCTTTAAACTCATCTGAGTTAAGATAGGAGATTGTGATCGGAGAATCACAACTTGCGGTTTGTGAACAAAGAGAAACAGATTGAGAGCTTGAAACTTCAGATTTCACGCTAACAACGGCACTGTACGAAGAGAATATGGAACCATCGTCACTCAGATCAGTGGCGAAGCTGGAAACAGGAGAGAATTCACCTAGAAGATGATGTTTGATGAATTCGAGAGCTGAAACTTCATCTAGAGACGCCATAGTCAAGGTAAGTTGTTCTGGTAATAATACTGTATGAAGATTATGTATGGAGAGGTTTAGAGAGAGAAAATAAGGAGAGAGAGAGGCTAGAGAGAGAAGTAGTTAATTTGAATTGGGAGAGCCGCGAGAGTGGATGAGGAGTGGAAATGTATATATAGAGCCCATAAGGGAGACGAAATTGACTTCCTCAAAAAGGGATTATTAGCGAAAGGAAGAAGGAAAAGTCGTCCTTGGGGGAAAAGATACAATGGGTTGCACAATAGGAGTAGTGGAGTAGGTCATCCTTCAATTTTGACCGTCTGATTCTCTCCAAGGTTTGAATATCTCAACTCAAAGCAATCATCAACACCGTCGGCCTTTAAAGTAAATTAATTCCGTTTATATACCCAAAAAAAAAAAAAGAAAAAAAAAGAGAGAGAATATGAGTTGTTGTTCCTATTTTAATACTCAAATATTAAATAAGAGCTACAAAATTTTACAATGCTATTTTGTATTTTCGTTTTATCTAAAATAGAAATAATATTTTTGTCCTGTGTTCATTTGAGATTGAAATGAAAATCGAGAAACAATTTTTTTTATAATGCAAACAAGGACAAATGAAATAACGAATTATACAAGAAATTGTTTGTATAAAACACCAAGTGACTACGAGGACCTAAGATTTCTTGGTCAAGTGAAAAAAAATTCATAACAACGTTTTAAAAAATAAGACTCATGGCTTAGTGATGCCTCTTCTCCTTTCAAAATTAAGGTAGAAGATTCAAGTCTTTTCAAGTTTTAAATCCATTTATTTTTTATTCATTAAGATCAATTCGATGCAAATTTTAGATAAGATTGTCTGAAATGTATAGAGATCTACTTTTTATTCTTGAGAATTTTTAAAGGAAATATTTAAAATTAATGAAAATAATTTATTTATTATTCATAGATTTAGTGCATGAAAACAGTATTCATTGAATGTTCACATGCTGTTGAGTAGTTTGTTATGGACATGAAATTTGAAATAATTTTTTTAATAGGAGTGCCAGTTTTGGTACCAATTACTATTTCTTAAAAAGGAATTAGTTAAAAAATATTGAAAGTTGAGAGCATAATTTGTATTTTAGTGAGGAAAAGGCACTAATGATATTTTAATAAATAGAAAGAATTAATAATGCAACGATATATATTACAATTCAAAGATACTTCCAAACAGTGTACTTTTGGATAATCTTTATATATACCAGGAAGGAGTAACATGTACTCCTATATATGTACAATGGTGTTCACACTTGGACAAGAAAAAAATATATTAAGGGAAAAATACAAAAGCATATGTTGAAACATACTTAAATATATGATATTTATACATATAAGGAGTAATATGCACTCCTATATATATATATATATATATATATATATATATATATATATGTATGCACAATATGTACACATTGACAATATATATATATATTAAGGGAAAAATACAAAAGCATATGATGAAACAGACTTAAATTGGAATTAATAGGTGGGTATTTTGTCTTATTATTGAAGCTGCATGTGATATTCGATTCCATAAAGATTAAAGTTGTCTTAATATTGAAGCTGTGATAATAGCTATATATATTCTAGAAAGATTAAAGTTGTCACCATTAAGCAAGCGTGTATTGCTTATGATGCTGCCTTTTCAACAACAAACACACACACACACATATGTATATATAAAGAATCCACCGTCTCCATTAATGTGAAACAACTAAGTAAAATAATTTAAAATTAAATACGTGCTCGTGTTACTCTTCACATTGAGAATTGACTGAGCAATTGTATAGAATCCAAAATGAACTCTTCATGTTTTAATTAATAATATTCAAGGTGATTTAAATCAACGTGAAACCGAGTATTTCCATTTTCTTGTAATGAGTGTAACATTAAAAATACATTTTCATTTTGTTTTGTTTTTGTTTTTTTTGTTTTTTTGGCTAAGCAATGAGACAGATCGAGAAGAGAACAATATATATATATATATATATATAGTTTCTTGTTTTGCTCCGAGAAGACCAGTTCTTGCAAAATCTTCATTTTAAAATTCCAAGTATATAGATGAGATTCTGAAATCCAAACAAGATCGATATAGAAAACATAAATCCAAATTAATTTTGGCCATGTTCTTAACAGAAGCTTGTGTTTTATTTATGTTTTGTTGAAGGACATGGAATAAGTCTTATGGTAGTGGTTGGATTAATAAATTCTCAAGTCTTGAGTGGATCTTGTATCGGTCTTAACCACTATCTTTTTAATAATCATTCTTTATAAACAGAGAATAATCTTTCAACCGGCGAAGAACATTAGGTTAATTAAAACTATGAAATGACTGACAGGGTTTTAACACTAAAGTTACCGCGTAAAATTAAAAAGCCTAGACGAAATAATGAAAAACAGTTAAATGTTGTTAACATTTACAGTTACACCCCATGCATGCACCTAGTTTGACTTATTATATATTACCAATACTAATTAATTAATAAGAAATGAAAAGTAGTGACAGTCTATCGCAGATGTTATATAATAATGTCATAGTTTATAATATAGTATTTCTCAATGTCCAATGTTGAGAATTGTTCTGGAATACGTTTTGATTACGAAATCAATATCTGGGAGATATATATTGAGGATATAATAATAATTGTTGATTATTATTCATATAAGAACACGACAAAGTTTTGACCTAGCACATTTTGAAATTTTCAGCTCAATTAATTGAATTTTAAAGGATTCAACTCTCATTTTGCAGCAAAAGCATTTGTCAACTCCACTTAATTACCGTGTTTAATTACTTGCCTGTTTTTCCATTGCGTAGACCAGCAGGCTGATAGGGCTAGCAATTGCATGCGTAACCGAAATGAATTCTGTACCCTTCCATGAATGGACAAGTTGATCAACTACTCAAAATATTGAAGGTTTAATTGTTCATTTTATCACCCAATTGACAAACCCTAGGAAGGTAGAGAAAGGGACGATAACAAAATTAATTAGTAAAATTAAAAGGGCATTATTCGTCTTGGTTAGGCCATGACAATGTTGTAGATAGAGAGAATTCGATAGAGACTTAATCTTTGTTATTTTAGCATGTGGTCATTTTGTGAATTCGAAAACATTGATGTTCTTACCGGTAAACTAAGTATCGACAATTATCAATGAGCCATTGGTCTCCTCGCTCAAGAGGAGGAATTTAAACTCCATAGCATAGTAGAGAATTTGTTATGAAATGTGTGTGAATACTTATTGAATAATAAATAAAAACCTAAGCATCGGTTCTCAAAATTAGTAAATCGAAAAAATTCTTAGATGATGCAAAAGCATTTTTATACGCACAAAAATTGACACAATACTTCATCATTAGAAATTAAATTGGTGAAACAACACCCTGGCGATAAGAAAAGCTAATAAGTTTTTTGGTTGAATTTAATTGTAGTGTTTCTAGGGTCTTTCAACGCAAATTACAATACTTCATCATAATATGCAAGAAGCCTACAGTGACGTACTATAATACCCTCGTTGCGATCGGACCACCCTACCTAACCGGGGGTAGCTCACCCGGACGCCTTTCGGACCTGGTGTTTGGTGTGACACCGAATTAAGGAGTGAGTCTGACTTTGATACCAACTGTAACGGGTGGGAGCTTGTCCATTTATCCAAAAACTCAAACTATTGGGTAATGCTACATACCCATCCATTATACCCAATCATTTTTCCATCCAGATCTGATGTGGGACAAATAACCCTTGTTACACCTATTCACTTCGGATATGATCCAGCGGTTTCTTACTGGACTTTGGTGTTTAGCAAGCCTAAGGTCTGCAGTTCGCATTGACGGATCTAAGGGGGGGGGGGGGGCTTGGGCGTGCTCAAGCACAGCAAAAGAATAATAATAATAATAAATTTACTATACCTAATTTTAGCACAACACAAAAAATAAAAAATATAATATTACTAATATTAGCACACCCAAAGAAATATTAACCCATTCCATTGACAATTCCTCGATCCGCCCTTGGTGGTTCGAGTCCTGTTAGATGTTCTTTGTGACTAATCTCCGCTACATCTATAGTGACTTATCCAGCCCGAATGCGAAGGTGCCTTTCTAAATTTTCAAAAATAATCAAATTGTCGAGGGACACTAAAAATTCGTATCTTTCCAAATACTCGGGTTAACTAAGAAAAGAAAAACAACACATGGCCTTTGAAAGTAGTATTAAACAATTAGCACCAAAAAGTCTCAAGTCTTCCTTGTACCTCACTTTAGAGCTATATTTATGTCTTCTTAATTAGAGTTTATAATACACAATTGACTAGAGATATATGGAAGAACAACATATCCAATACTGTAATTGTTATGTAGAATTTCTTCGTCAATTAATAATAAACTAAACATTGTAATCGTCAATTAATAATATTAAACATAATTACTATCTTATTAAAACTAATGTTATAAAACCGTAAGAGTACCCAATTTCCTAAAACAAGCATTTAAACTATTTTTTTTTTGTTTTTTTGGGATAGAGTGTTAGTATGTAAATGATGAAATCAAGCTTGCAGGACATTTCTCTCTTAGAATTTTTTTATTATGTCTTTATGTAACCCTGCATATATAATATTTCCTTATTATTTTTGTGTGTGTATGCTTTCTTACTATGCTATTAAGTCAGACATCATGTTTGGCTAATGATAAATTTACCTTAGAATGTGTTTTTCTCCATTTCTGAGTCTGACATGTTATATTTCATCTACCCTAGATTCACACTTGTTTTGAAATATGTTTACCACATGATTGTTTTTTTCCAAAATATATATATATATATACATTTTGTCACTTTCTACGGTCAACTCTTTGGACTTTTCTCACATTTTTAAGAGTCCGTAGAATCTTCCATGACCATTTGTTGATGCTAGTTCACGCATTGTAGGTACTTCGAAGCTTTAACAATTTAGCCTCGACTCTGAATGCTCTAAATCAGTTGCAATAGCTAGCACAAACTAAATACTATGTATTTTATTTATTTATTATTATTATTTTAAGCCACTGAAATATATATATATATATATATATATGAAAAATAATGCTAATTACAAAAAGGACCATTAGGCCAAACCAGTCCATTGGACTGAATG